CAAGAGCCTCAAAATCCCCCCAAATATTCCCAAAATTCCCACCCAAAATCCCCCCCTGGATCCCCCAAATTCCTCCCCCCAAAATCCCCCCCAAATTTCTTCACCCAGAATTCCCAAAATCCCCCCAAAGATTCCCAAAATTCTCCCCAAAATCCTCCAGAATTCCCAAAATCAAAATCCCCCCCAAATTTCTTCACCCAGAATTCCCAAAATTCCCCCAAAGATTCCCAAAATTCTCCCCAAAATCCTCCAGAATTCCCAAAATTCCCCGAATCTCCCCCAAATCCTCCCACAATTCTCCCAAAACTCCCCCCAGAATTTCCAATCCCCCCAAATTCCCAAACCTCCCAAAAATTCCCTCCAAAATCCCCCAGAATTCCCAAATTCCTCCCAAATTTTCCCAACATTTTCAAATTTCTCCAAAACTCCCACTCCAAATCCCCCAGAATTCCCAAAATTCCCCCCAGAATTATCCCAAATTCCCCAAAAATTCCCCCCAGAATTCCCAAATTTCTCCAAAATCTCCCCAGAATTCCCAAAATTCTCCCAAATTTCCCCTAAATTCCCCCAAATCCCCCCAGAATTATCCGAAATTCCCCCAAAATTCCCCCCAGAATTCCCAAAATTCCCAATCTTCCCCGGAATTCCTCCCGAAATTCCCCCAGAATCCCCAATCCCCACCCTGTGCCGCCGTGGCTTCTCTTCCTTCCTCCTCCTCTTCCTCCTCTGTCTCCTCTTCCTCCTTGACCTTCACCCGCCCTTCGGCCTCGGAGGACTCTCCTTCCTCTTCCTCCTCCTCCTCTTCCTCGTCTTCTTCCTCTTCCTCCTCCTCCTCCTCCTCCTCATCTTCCTCTTCTTCTTCATCCTCCTCTTCTTCATCCTCGTCCTTCCTCTGTGGATGAAGAATTTTTATTGGGGGGGGGTTAGTTTCCCAGCCTTCCTCCTCCTCTTCCTCCTCTTCTTCCTCTTCCTCCTCCCCTCCTCCTCCTCCTTTTCCTGCTCTTCCTCCCCCAGTTCATTCTCCTTTTCCCAGCCTTCCTCCTCCTCTTCCTCCTCTTCCTCTTCCCACTTCTCCTTATTCCTCTCTTCCTCCTCCTCTTTCTCCTTTTCCCACCCTTCCTCTTCCTCCTCCTCTTCCTGCTCTTCCTCCCCCAGCTCTTCCTCCTTTCCCCAGCCTTCCTCCTCCTCCTCCTCCTTTTCCCACTTTTTCCTCTTCTCCTCTTCCTCCTCCTCTCTTTCCTGCCCTTCCTCCTCCTCTTCCTCCTTTCCCTGCCCTTCCTCCTCTTTCTCTGCCTTTTCCCACCCTTCCTCTTCCTCCTCCTCTTCCTCCCCCCGTTCTTCCTCCTTTCCCTGCCCTTTTCCTTCTGCTCTTCTTCCTCCTTTTCCTTTCCCACCCTTCCTCTTCCTCCTCCCTTCCCTGCCCTTCCTCCTCCCTTTCCTCCTCCTCTTCCTCCTCCCTTCCCTGCCCTTCCTTTTTCTCCTCCTCCTCCTCCTTTGCTTGTCCTTCCTCATCTTCCTCTTCCTCCTCCTTTTCCTGCCTTCCATCCTCCTGTTCTTCCTCATTCTCCTCCTCCTCTTCCTCAGTTTCCTCCTTCTTTTCTTCCTCCTCCTCCTCCTCCCCATTTCCCATCCCCCTCCCCACCTTTGCTCTTGGGCTCTGTTCCCATTTCCCACCTTGGTTCCCATTCCCATTCCTGTTCCCATTCCCATTCCCATTCCCATTCCCATTCCCATTCCCATTTCCCATTCCCATTCCTGTTCCCATTTCCCACCTTGGTTCCCATTCCCATTCCTGTTCCCATTTCCCATTCCCAGTTCCTGTCCCCGTTTCCCATTCCTGGCTCCCATTCCCATTTCCCATGCTGGTTCCTGTTCCCATTTCCCACCTTGGTTCCCATTCCCATTCCCCATTCCCATTCCCATTTCCCGTTCCCATTTCCCATTCCCATTTCCCGTTCCCATTTCCTGTTCCCATTCCCATTTCCCGTTCCCATTTCCCATTTCCCATTTCCCATTCCCATTCCCATTTCCCGTTCCCATTCCCATTTCCCATTCCTGTTCCCATTTCCCATTTCCCATTCCCATTCCCATTTCCTGTTCCCATTCCCATTTCCCATTCCCATTTCCATTTCCCGTTCCCATTCCCCATTCCCATTTCCTGTTCCCATTCCCATTTCACATTCCCATTTCCTGTCCCCATTTCCCATTTCCCATTTCCCATCCCCATGTCCCATTTTCCATTTCCATTCCCTGTTTCCTTCTCCCACATTTCTGTTCCCATTCCCCGTTCCTGTTTCCCGTTCCCATTCCCCGTTTCTCCCGTACCCTGCTCCCGCCCTTCCGGGGCCCTTCCCCATTCCCGTTCCCCATCCCCATTCCCGTTCCCCATTCCCGTTCCCCATTCCCGTTCCCCATTCCCGTTCCCCATTCCCGTTCCCATTCCCGTTCCCCATTCCCGTTCCCCATCCCCATTCCCGTTCCCCATTCCCGTTCCCATTCCCGTCCCCTGCTCCCGCCCTTCCGGGGCCGCCGGCGGGCGCCGTCGCCGTCGCGGTGCCGCTCCTGCCGCTGGGCGAAGCGGGCGATGACGTCGTCCAGCCGGGCCAGGGCCAGGCGCCGGTTCCGCCGCAGCCGCTGCGCCAGCTCGGGGTCCGAGAGCGCGGGGTCCGTGCCTGGGGGGGCCAATCCCAGATCCCGAAATTCCCGAATCCCAGATCCCGCAATCCCAGACTGCCCAAATCCCAGATCCCGAAATTCCCAAATCCCCAAAATCCCGCAATCCCAAATCCCAGATCCCAAAATCCCAGACTGCCCAAATCCCAAATCCCAAATCCCAGAATCCCAGACTGCCTCAAATCCCCAGTCCCAAAATTCCCAAATCCCGGAATCCCAGACTGCCCAAAATCCCAAACCTCCAAAATCCCAGACTGCCCAAATCCCAGATCCCGAAATTCTCAAATCCCCAAAATCCCAAATCCCGGAATCCCAGACTGCTCAAATCCCAAAATTCCCAAATCCCAAATCCCAGAATCCCAGACTGCCTCAAATCCCAAACCTCCAAAATCCCAGACTGCCCAAAATCCCAGATCCCAAAATTCCCAAATCCCAGATCCCAAAATCCCAGACTGCCCAAATCCCAAATCCCAGATCCTGCAATCCCAGACTGCCCCAAATCCCAAATCCCAAAATTCCCAAATCCCCAAAATTCCAAATCCCAGAATCCCAGACTGCCCCAAATCCCAGAATGCCCAAAATCCCAAATCCTGAAATTCCCAAATCCCCAAAATCCCAGAATCCCAGACTGCCCAAAATCCCACATCCCGAAATTCCCAAATCCCCAAAATCCTAAATCCTGACATCCCAGGTTGCCAAAAATCCCAAGTCCCCAAATTCCCAAAATCCCAGACTGCCAAAAATCCCAAATCCTGAAATTCCCAAATCCCCAAAATCCCAAATCCCGACATCTCAAATCCCAAAATCCCTGAATTCCCAAAAAACCTAAACCCCAAAATCCTGAAATCCAAAAATCCCAAAAATCCAAATTTCCCCAAAGCCCAGAACTCCAAATCCCAAAATTCCCAAACCCCAAAATCCCAAACTCCGAAACTCCCATTTCCAGACCCACCCCATCCCCATTTTCCCACCCTCTTCCCATTTTCTGCCCCGTTCTCCACTTTCCCTCCCATTTTTCCCATTTTCCCAACTTCCCCTCCCTCACCTCATCCCGCCCCATTTCCCTTCTCATTCCCCGTTTTTCCCCCATTCCTCACTCCGTACCTGGCCGGTACTCGTCGGTGAGGCGGCTCCCGAAGCCGTACCCCATTTTTCCCCATTTTTCCCCGTTTTTCCCCCATTTCCCCCCGTTACCTGGCCGGTACTCGTCGGTGAGGTGGCTGCCGAAGTCGTACCCCATTTCTCATTCCCCATTCCCTGTTTTTTCCCATTTTCCCCCGTTTTTCCCCCATTCCTCACTCCGTACCTGGCCGGTACTCGTCGGTGAGGTGGCTGCCAAAGCCGTACCCCATTTTTTCCCATTTTCCCCTGTTTTTCCCCCATTTCCCCCCGTTACCTGGCCGGTACTCGTCGGTGAGGTGGCTGCCGAAGTTGTAGACCAGGTCGAGGTGCCGCCGCTCCTGCAGCCGGTTGCCCACCTCGCGGAACACCTCCTGGGCCATGTTCTCCATCTGGCGCCGGCCCAGCCCCAGCCCGTGGCGCGCGCTGGCGCCGCGGATCTCGCGCAGGATGTCCGAGTAGTCGGGGAAGGCGTCGGGCCGGTTGATGAAGCGCTCGATGCTGCGGTTCACCTCGGGGTACCGCGTGCCGCGGAAGCGGATCCGCTGCTCCAGCACGCGCCCGGTCAGGCTGCTGCAGTCCTTGAGCTGGCAGAGCCTGCGGAAGATGCGCATCATCCTCCTCTTGAGGCGGTTCTCCTGCAGGTACGGCGAGTCGGCGCTGTCCAGCTCGGCCAGGTCCAGCTCGCGCTCCTGCAGCCGCCGGATCTCGCCGGCGTAGACGCGCAGCAGGTGCTCCAGGTGCCGGATCTGCCGCCGCGAGCCGCCCGCGCGCCGCGGGGACGCGGCCTCCGCCGGGCACGGCTGCTGCCCGGGGCCGCCGGCCGGAGCGCCGGGATGCTGGGATGGAGCGCCGGGATCTGCGATACACCTGGATACACCTGAGATACAGCTGGGATACACCTGGGTACAGCTGGGAATGGCTGGGCACACCCGGCTAGACCTGAGATAGACCTGAGTACACCTGGGCACACCTGGGTAGAACTGAGATACACCTGGGTACACCTGGAT